GAATATGAAAACAGTTAAAGGTTGCTGTGAATGCTCTCGGGCATATAAACAAGGTGATTTGGTACATATTGCCTAGAACCCCAGAAAAGTGGCAAAACGGGAGACACGAAGCTCAGGGAAGGCCTTTCTGAGGACAATGATGAGCCGCCAGTCTTTCAAGGAACCAAGGGGGAAACCTGCCCAGCAGAGGGAACAGCAATTCCCCTGGCCCTGTGGCAGAAAAGAGAGGGTGCTGGGGGTGGGAGTGGGGGCAGAAAGGGTGCCAATGTTGCATGGAGCCCAGTGTGAGAGGGGATAGAGGAAAGAAAGGGAGGAAGGTGCAGTGGTGGGTGGTGCCATGATGAAGAGTCTGGTTCTTCTTCAGAGGGCTCAGGAGAGCCAGAGAAAGGATTGAAGCAGGTAGTAGCATAATCTAATGCTTATTGAGTGGTTTCTCTCTAGCCCTTCTGTGTGGGCAATATCACAAGTGGGCAGGGCACAAAGGAAAGCAGGGAGACCAGTTAGGAGGCTCTTGCAGTAGTCCAGTCCAGAGAGAGCAGGGGCTTGTCCCAGACTGGAAGCCTCAATGTGGAGACTAGTGCATGGATTCACATGGTGTTTTGGAAGTGGAAGAGACAGCACTTGCGAGTGGATTAGAGGCAACCAGGGAACAAACTTAAGAAATGAACGATTACTACGAGAGTGTTTTCTTGGACATCCTCATCAGAGGTCTATGTACGGTCATAGGAAAGACAGAGAGTGGGCATGGTAGATTTGGAGAAGGCAGAAAGATAGATGGGTGTGTGTGTCAAGAACTCCTATTTGCACAGGTTTAGTTACTGAAGTCTGCTTGTCATCCATAGAGGCTGGAGAAACAGAATTGTTGAGACAACAGGACACAGTTAGGGTTTAAAGTCACAAAACTGAATAGGATCACCCAGAGAGAGTATAGCCAGGAGAAGAAGGTACAGGGCTACTCCCTGAGATACTCTGACATTTAGAAGTTGGGTGGGGAACACAAGCCAGCAAAGGAGATTCAGAAGGACTGGACAGTGAACAGGACTCCTCTCTAAGGCCTTGCATGTCCAAACGTGTCTAAACTTCTCGCCAAGGCTTTTCATCGCCAGCCTCAATGCCCTCATTGAGACTCTGCTCTCAATGCTCCTAGCTGTACATGCATGGGAGTTGGTTTAAAATGGGACAACAACAACTTTGTGTGCTTGGGTTTGGACTTCGCCTGCTGATAATTTCTCAGTGGAGCTTTCAAAAGAGAGAGAGGTTCAGATGCAGAGAACTTCAAAGAGTGGGGTAGGCACTGCTATTTCATGTGGCCCATCTCCCTTTTCCTTTCAGGAGGGAGAAATCAGAAGGAGTGGGAATGCAGTTCAGAGAGCAGAGGAGAAGAGAAGAAAAGAAGGAAGAAGGAAGAGGACTGGGGGTGGGTGGGGGGGAGGACACCAATGGGAAGAGGGACAGATCAACTCTACACACAAAAGTAAATCAAAACACCAAAAACAGGGGTCTATGTAAGGAAGCCTCTGCCCATGAATTGCTCGTTGCATAGCTGCAGGGAGGGTGTTTGGGGGCATAGAGAATGAAAACACCTGTATTTTGGTGTAGGGAAATTGTTTCTGTCAATTCACACCGTCCACACGCCACCTCC